GTTTTAGACAACAAAAAGAAAAGGAGAAGAAACCCTGAAAAATCCCAACGTGAACACAAAGACGCTTGTCAACAAGAAGTTCACTGACCTGATGGTGCTGGTTTGCCCTGGAAGAGCACAGACGATGGAAAGGCTTTCTTCTCAGCTTGGTGAAGACATTATGGCACAGACAGTTTTCCAGAAATGATGCCGAAAGCAGATACCATCAATCCTAGACCAAATGGCGCTAGCAACGAACCCTGTAGCCACTTTCATTAATTAATGATCGGACGTCCTGGCAGTCTTGGCTTTTAAGGGTACGGATTGTCTCCAAAAAATTAAAGAATATGGAATGGAAATGATAGCGATATACTGAATGTAAGAGGAATACAAACTAATATTGTGCTCATGGCTTTTGCATATTGAGAAGTTTTGCGATTCATGGGTCACGGATATGAGTCGGTGTAATTGCATTTAGTAAGTTATTTTTTCACTTATGACAGTGAACCATTTTATTTCAATAGCTTAAGAGAAAACCGAAGTTCAGGGTGATCATTCATAATTCCATAAATGATCAATTGAATAAGATGATTGGTGGTTCTGTATGGAAATTTTGTCTGCCTCTACAGTTATTATAATAATTTTAAAAAATAAAATTGAATATCCAGATGTTTTATCCACATTCTAAATGCAGAAAGATTTTTGCTTACAAAAGCATTGGTATCACAACCACTTATGGCCGTCTGTGTTTTATTTCAATCTTAGTGATGTAGTTATTTTTTCAAATTTGTGCTTTTGATGATGTGGAACTGTTCGTCAGTATAGCGTTTGAGAAGATCATAACCCGCACACTAACCATATCTCACAACTGTAAAATCTGGCTTGGTGTAAATGCTTTTACATGAAGAGGTTTTACATTGATAGCTTGTGCAAAATCTGTAATGAAATATTTTACGTTTGAGAAAATGTTTCATTATATTTTTTGCACAGTCTGCTCCTCGTGAGGGATGACTGGGTGCACACGGTCATCTCTCAAGATTGAGGATCGCACATTACTAATTTTACTAATATTATGATTTTCTCAAGTGTTATAGTTGACAAGCATATCCAATTCATCACATGCACCATTTTCTTCGGACCAAAAAATCATATTGAAATTTACATGGACGGTCATACAGTGCAATGTGAGATCCGAAATATTTCGAAGCAAGCTTGCTTTATTCTTTACTTGTATCATACATGTATACGTAGTTGACGTAGTTGCGATTTCAGGGCAAAATTACATTGAGAAAGTTCTATTTTTAAACCGAGTCATATGTCAAAGCTTGGTTTAAATGATTGAGATGCCCGAGTTATAAGCATATTGCCTGAGTATTTTATCATTAGAATGAACTATATATTTAAGTTTTGATGGATGCTTGCTTGTAAAAATATTTAGTCACTTTATTTATGACTTCAAATTAGTTAAAATTAGCCTCGGTTTAATTATGTAAGACTGTAGTTAATGTGCCTTAATTGGCTGCAGTTCCTCTTTCTGTGGGAATTACTTAAGTAAATTCTTGTGCTTCATCATGTGCACCAGTATAGAGATTAGTTTGTAGTCACGGAGAGAAAGGCTTAGTTTACTCAGTGGCAGTACGCTGTCTAACATTGGACGATATTCTTGAACTGTAAGCTAAGCGCCGTGCTGGTAAAGAAGCTATCATGTTAAAAAGACTGCAGTATCCGGGCGTGGGCATTTTCCCGGCATTCCCCACGAAGGGTTTAGACGGGTTTTTCCCCACGGCCCGCAAGCATCGGATACCAGCTTTTGACTACAAGACCAGCTTTGTCGGACTGTTTGCGTTCTGATGTTTGATGATAAAAACAGGAGTAGAAAATCTTAAAACTTTAAATAATACTATAATTTATTGATTCATTGTGTTTACATAATTCATTAGTGATTACTAAAGTATTTTTTCAAATTTAATGTTACTGTTCAAATTGTACATAATAGTTGAATAAAATCATAATCAATACTTTTTCTTTTTGTTAGGAAACGTGTACAGATGAAATGATAATCACCAGACATGAGTCGCATGTATGTGTACCCAGTTCGTTTAATTATCGGTCGAAATTCTCTTCTCTTTTATTTGTACCTTATCTCACTTAAACTTAATTTAAGATTTCGCGATTTCTTCCATAAAACCTGGCAATGTTCTGGTAATTTTTAAAGACGGAATGGAGAAAAGAATTGTAAACACCATGGAAGACTCTTTTCATTCTGCATCATCACTGTGTATATTTTAACCAAGCAATAGTAGACTTAACTTTTAAAGGAAGTAAACGCTTTTTAAACAGCTTTTATGCAAGTGCAGTGACGCATTTTAATTTGATCTCAAAGTTTGATCGAAAACAAATTCTTAATTTATCTGTTGTATTACTTTTACTCTGTAAATTATCAAACTTGTTCCAAAAGGAAAATGATTTCCGATTTTTATAATTGGCTAAATGAACTCTATTATCTTAATCTTAATGAATAGATTTTTGGTTTTGGAAACAAAGCTGCGGTGATGCGTAGCTTTTTTTTTCTCCGGGAATAACTCGAGCCGATACCTAGACTTTCCGCTAGTCGGATTAGAGCCACTAGAATTTACTATCACCAATTTTTCTAAAGATGGGGTGAATAACAAGTGCGATATTTTTGTATTTTTTTTTTTTTTTGTTAATTATGGCTTGCATTTGTGACATTAATTTGTTGAACAGACCTCACTTCTGCATAAAGATGAAGGGAACAGTCGAGTCGCCATAAAAGTCCGTAGTTTTTTCTCATGTAATCAGCATGGAGGCTGATCGAGATCTAAAAAGTTTGGTAATTAATATGACAGTGACACAATTTCAAGCGCATCGATCGAAAGCTTTGCCATAAATGTCACTGCCGACCAACGTGCACTTGTTTCTTTTATTTACAAAGAATTTCTGCCTATTATCTTTTTATGCGTTTAAGAAATCTTCCTTTACTATTCTAATTCATCCTTTTCACTTAAACGAAAAGAATACAATAAATCAATAACACCAAATTTACTGATATACTGGCACATCTAAGAAAAACGATTTCTCAACAAAATATTTATTTTAGTAAAACCCATTCTCTTTACACATTTAAATAAATAAATAAAAGGTTAACTTAATGAAGGGTGGGGGAAAGTACGTAATGCAATGAGCTTATCTGAATTTTTGATATATATCATGCTGCCATAACGTGTAACTAACTTTTTTCAAGCTGTTTTATTTTTTGTTGCAACTTTTCAAGATCAAATTGCAGACTTTGATTTCTTTCTAGGAGACTTGCTTTCTCACTGATCAGATCATCAACGTGTTGTGACAACTCTTTCACCTTTTCTTCAAGCCTTTCAACTTTTGCCCTGCACGATGGGCGCTTGCATCGAGACTTTACATGTGTACACTTCGCCTCTAAATCCTGTGAACATTGTGGATCAGAAGGCAAATTGTTCCCTTTAGAGGCATTGTTCTTGCTGTAGTTGTGAACATCCACAATAGAGTACGGAGGGCATATCATCTTTTCAGTTGTGTCCATAGGCTCAGTGACCCTCCTTTTAACAAGCTTCACGCCATCAAAAGTAATACCATGCTGGAATATAGCAACAGCCTCTAAGACTTTGCCAGGAAACACATGATCAGCAAACTTTGGGAGAATTTCCCTGGCCTTTTCCTTCTCAAGCTGTAGCAGAATCTGACATAGATCATCCACGTCAGTCAGATCCGTTCCTAGATATTTTAGTGCAAGGGAGCGTGCAGTTGTCAATGGTAGGTATTGAGCAATGTGAGCCAGTGCCTCACAGATTATGTGATCAGAGAATTTAGTGGCTGCTGATATTGCACTATCCTTGCTTTGTGCCCATTCTGGATAGCACCTCATGTACATGGTGGGAATGCGACTACCTGCTAGTGGTTTCCCATATCTGAAAAGAGAAAACAATGTTTTAACACAAATTCAACATTACAACAGTACTGATATCATAAACCACCGCAATAAAAAAAAGATACAATATCTATCAAAAGTATGAATGTACCTGGTTTTTATTTTACTAGTATTTGTACAGAACTACATGTACTAAGAATATCAGACCACTAAAATTATAGTTACTCTACTGGTCAATATGTTGGCAATTTTATTCAACACACAAAGTGCCTCACTGCCCAAAAGCAGCTGTCATTTTACTTAACCTAAAGTGATTACTGCATATTCTTGTGTTGGCATTGACAGTGTAACCAAGACGGTCAATCTTCACTTGCCACTTGAGATACTCATCAGGACGGGGAGCATGCATCTGTAACTCCATTACATGGGGCATAACAATGCACCTGAAAACAGCATATAAATTATAATATCTATTATGCATGTAAATTTATCTTCATATTTTTAACTGAGAATTTACAAAACTTACAGGCTGTGGCACTGCCACAACCTATGTTTAGAATTTTATTTTAATGTATTATAATATTAAAATTATTACAAAATTTTTTTAATGAATATATAACCAAATTCTCACAGCTGCGGCACTGCCACAATCTATGTTTATGAGGCTGGACAACGTTTATATATGTATTAATATTATCAATATGACATACTAGTACATATATCTTATGGGACAGAGGGGGTTTGCTATAATGTACGGTTATTATTACTTTAGAAATATATCACTGATAATCCTGAGTACTTTAAATTTATATTAAAAAATATAACTGAAGGGGTATTTACATGTTAAAGCAATCTAGCCCCAAATGTCCAGCGAACTTTCTGTGTTGTGTCTGCAACTAACGCTACCACTGCTGTTGTTTAAATATACTACCTTTTCCGGTATCTTCTGTCATTTCTGCAACTGAACGCACTGCAGTTTGTTGACATGTTCGGCTGTTTCTTGCCTAAGTGTGCTCACACCGGTGGTTATATTTTCTACAGTAAACGCATTAGAATGTAGCTCTTCTTGGATGACCTTTACCTTAATCGCTAACCTAGTTTCAACATGGCCGACGAAATTCCAATTTTTCCTAAGGCTGGATCGATTTTGATAAATACCGGGAGTATTGTGAATTGGAATCGCCTGAAGAGGAAGCCGAACCACACGCCCACAGATGAGGTAATATTGTGTCGCTTTTGGTACCATGACGTTGTACCAATTTTGTGAAAACAACGTGAATGTCTTTGTTTACAAATGACATAGGCAGTCAACATGTAACTGGGAGTAACAAAAAGTCTTTAAAATTTGCTTTGTCATGGTGAACTTTCACTTTTCTCTTTCATTTTCAATGTCGTACTAAAATAATAATGATTATAATGAAGATAATAAAAATGATCAACCTTGCGTTTACTAAGATATTAATTAATTAATTATTATTATTATTTTAAATAATCATAATTATAATGTTTCTCTCTGTTTAATCTAGCTGAAAGAGTGTATAAGTGCCACTGTGGGGTCTTGGCTCAACGATTTGGATAAAACTAAAGCACAGGTAGATTTCCTTTATTTTGTGAATTATTATTTTTAAATAAAATATGTAGATTAACTTTAGTATTGACAGATTGGGGAATTTTTTGACATCAAAATGTGCAGTATTAGATGTCATATTTCAATTTAACATTTGTTAGAACAGAAATCCTTTGTCGACAGGTTGTTGCAATGTGGTTTACTACACAAAGGGTGCTTTCCCAGAGATTTAGATCGATCTAAAGATTAAGTTTTAGATCGACCTAATTCCCTGAGGGTTCACGCTAAATTGCAGTCAGCCGAGCGGGCACCATAGTTAATTACCCCCTTACAGCTTTTAGTAGGTGGGACAGACGCTTAAGCCGGCCAAGCTGACAGTAATCTAGTGAGACTCCCCACAGGGATAGATCGATCTAAAAATCTATGGAAATGGGGTGAATGAATCATATAGTGTAATAATGTACTTTTGACTGTACATACTGGTACCTCTTTATTATTTTCTGTGTATCAGTATTTTTATTGCTGCATGTTATTTTAAAGATTTATTTTCAATGCATGTATATGAAAGATATTTCATTTCCTTTTTCAGTATGCAACTGACCTGAAATGTATAAATCCAACTTTTAGCAGCAATCTCTCTGGAGATGATAGAGAACAGCTCAAAATTACTGGTATTTCAACTTTTACACATTTTGATAGCTCTCAAGAAAAAATCCTAGTATTTTTTTTTCCTTTTTTTTTTCAACTTTAGAATATCATCATAAGATTTGGACAGATATTTTTATCTTGAGACTTTATTGAAGCTTACTCTTTTTTTCTTTCTCTGTCATATGGTCTTAATTTATATAGACTCACCCTTCAAGAAATCAACAAAAATGGGAATATTTTCAAATTTGAACAGGTGTTCTAGATAAATTATGCTAGGTAATGCTCTAAAATTTTGCTTATGGGAGTAATATCATATAATATCATAATATCATATCTTTTTAGGTCTCGCAAAAAAATTCTCAGTGTGTACCTGTTTTTTAAAATTATTATTTACATAAACTGAAGTAAACAATGCATCAGTCAAAGTTATTATTTCTTTTTTTCTGTAAGTTTTTCTATGTAATCATTTTAATTATTTATTTTTATTTTACAGTGAAGATATTTGTAACTCAGCCAGATCCATTGGCTTTAGAAGATGCAATAGAAAAAGGTAGATAACATCAAGTATTATATGACTTGTTATTATAGCACATCATTGTATTTTATCATATATTATATCACATAAAAATATCACTTATTATATATATAATGTCATATATATTTTATCACCTTTCATCCTTTGGTATTAGTATCATATATCACTTATATTCAATATTGTACCACATATCAACACTTTTTTTTTTGCATGCACACATGCATGCACTGCATATCTGTGATTCAAAAAATATTTCATAATTCCATTAACTTTCAATCAAATAGCCATAGCACCACCCCAAGTGGGTTGAAGACTTAAGGTGCATAAAGAATTTTGTATGACTTGATTGAACTGTGAATTCACCAACTCAGAATATTTGTAGATTAAGTAAAGTTACAAAAAATTCTTAAAAACATTTAATGACTTAGGTGTAACTATAAATTTTCTACACATATGCAAAAATGTTATTTTAGTTTTGGCAGACTTGGATGTGACCAGTTTGGAGACAGTATTACTGTCACTGTCCCAGCCAGACCAGAAGTCTGTCTCTATGGATGGGATAAAAACATTGTGGGAAGTACTGGAAAGAATGGTAGAAAAAGAGAAGATTCTCGCCATTGGTATTAGTGACCTTGCCAAGGATGAACTTGAACAGTTACACACTTGGTCCACGGTAAGAGAAACTGTGGCCGTATTCACAGCAGCTGATTATCTAATCCATGGATCAAATGGGCCGTGGGCCGATCCACTTGAGTGCTTGTTGCGTTATCCCTGGGGGGAATCTTATCAATGTGTATTAGGGGATTCTTTGCAAGCTTTTAAGTGGGTCACCGTATTTGATCCGTTGACTAATTAGTCCACTGTTGTGAATATCACTTCCAGATTCCAGATCACTTACAGGGTGCCTCCAAATAATTTACTCACTCCTTGACTTCCCATTACTAACTCATATAATATTTTGATTTGATTTAATTGTTTGTTGACATAGATACAAGTGTTATGAGTTAAAAAAATAAAATTATATTAAAATTATATTAAAATAACAAAATGAATTAACATTTTTTAAAACTTTTATTTTCTCGAAAAACAAACAAACAAACAAAAATTGATTATTATAATGGGCAGTCAAAGAGTGAGTGCAATTTTTGGGGACATCTGTTTCTATTTATTTATGTATAGAACAATCTATCATTTAATGCAAAAAATAGCAATACTGAAAAGGAGAAAAGTGAATCAGGAAACTAACGTTCATTCCATCTTATTATTTTTTTTCTGATTTTTAGGTCAAGCCCTGTATTAACCATGTCAACTTGGCCAGCTGTTGTGTAATGCCCCCTGATCTGACAGAATATGCCAAGGAGCAGGATATACAACTACTAACTCACAGTGATCCCAAAGGCAAGTCTGACATAGCGACTGTATATTTACCAGGTTTGCTGCCTATTTAAAAAGTTTGAAATCCACCTCCTCAGCAGCAGTATCCTATGACTTTATCAAACATGGTGTATTGTATGCCAAATCTATCCATCCGCCACCAGTCTGATGAGTGGGATGGATAGCATTTTCCTCCAGTGGGCAAAGTATTTAGGAATATGGTTCTCTGTCTGAAATAGTGACTGTATATTTGTAAGATTTGCTGTCTGTTTAAGACTGGAGATGTCTCTTCTTGTATTTTATAATTCCAGCAGTTGGTCATTATAATATGGATATTTGTTACATTTGTGTTAATGTGATCTTTTTATTGCTGCATTGTCATTGTTCTTGTCATTTATATATTTGTTGTTGTTGTTTTTTTTTGTTTTTTTTTTCTGACAATGAAATTTCACCAAGCCGAGATAGCTTCTGAACATGTAGAAAATGACACCGAATTTCATTTTTTTCACCTATTTTCTTTTTGAATCCAGCTGGTGACTATACTTTTTTGTCTTTTTCTTTCACTTTAATTTTATTTTGTCTTTATTTCATTATAATTCAATTTCATGTTAATTTGGTTTTTGCCTTTTTCAATTCACAGAAATGTTCCCAGACAAGACTTTCCAGGACGTTCTCTGCAGCACAGCGACTGAGAAGGACTCGGAGGGTTGGTCAGTATCCTGGATAGCCCGCTACACAGCATTGGTCAAGGACCGGGGGATCATTAAAGCCAAGGGGTATCTAGTCAAAGCTGTCAGAGATGTCAAAAAAGGGAAGTGATGTCACAAAATGGGAATTATTTCATGAACAGGAAGTGATGTCACAAAATGGGAATTATTTCATGAACAGGAAGTGATGTCTCACAATTTGTGAACAGGAAATGACGTTATGAAAAAAATTGCAACTCTCCCTGCATAGTGTCAGTGTAGTAGAAGGAGAGACAATTTTTTATACTTGTATTCATAAAGTTACCATACAGTAATAGCTCATAAAAATATACTGGAGTGATAGACATTTAGTTATCCAATATTATTTGCTAAAAGGTTGTGATTGAATAAAAAGGAAATGAAGTGATATTCAGAAAAGGGGATGTCACACCGTCACAGTGATATCATAAACCGGAAGTGGTGTAACAAAGAGGAAATGTTGAGCATCTGCAATATTCACTCCAAATATCAAAGTCTTATGACATATTCACTATAGAAGTTCATTTTGGCCATATTTAGAGCACTGGTCATGTACACAGAGTCAGACAATTAAGTAAGTGTGCCAAAAATATAGAGCATTCACTTTCATTTAGTGACTGAATACGAAAGGAAAACACAAAACCTAAAAGTTCATGTATTTTTTTTTTATCTAAAACTGCATAAAATATGAAGTCTGTTTTTTCTATTACTTTGAAAAGGTTACTGCAGCGACTGTTGGTCCCATAAATCATAGGTTTGGAATTGTATTACTTGAGCTGCTAATGTATTGAGCATTTAACATTCACGTTTTTTTAGCATTTAGAGCCAATATGATGAACTTAAATGGCTAGTGTATAAAATTTTGTAAAGGAAATCTGTAAGCCCACTGTTACAGGTTGAGATAGCTTTATGAAAGTATTGAGCCAAGATTGATGTAAAATTTATGTATTTTGTGAAATTTTGAAGTTAAGATTTTTTCTTACATGCACCATATGTATCTCTGGTCTGTAAGGGATGTGCTTTATACTTGTATAGTTTATAAAGAATAATGTAGATATGTACAAGATCCATGCAGATACACGCACACACACACACACACACACACACACACATGCACAAATAGACTGCAATATTGTATATAATTTTCATTGATTAGGTGAGGGATATTATGCATGTCTATATCCAATTTTCTACATTTTTAAGCGAGGAGTACAGTCAACATTTTGCTGTAGAGTTTTGTGGCGTAAATAGTTGATAATAACACTAATGAATAGTTTTTTAATTTCATTTCAGCAGTTTTAATACATATGCCATACATGTGTTATCTGCAGACTACGAGCATATAAAACAGAAAGTTGGAAGAACAACAAGGCAGCAAAGCTGTCAAATGTACAGACAAAGGACAGAAAATAAAGATGCAAATAAGTGAAAAATTAAATTTTCACAAAAAACTGTTAAATTGCCAGAAAAATTTACCAAACAGACTGCGTTGCCTATTGAAGCTGTATGTTAGACCCATGTTTCTTTCCTGTAAGTTTGAGAACAGTAAGTGACATGATTTCCCTTAAATGGTCATCATAGGAGCAGTGCCCAAAATAGGGGTTTCTTCAAATTTTGATGCAACATTACATAATGTTTAACAGCATAATGACAATCAAATGTTATTAATAAAATATTAGTAACATGGACATTCAGAAAATGTGACAAGCAAAAGTCTTCAAGATCATGGAACTTTAAAGTCACACCTTGAAAATGCCAATATGTGAAAAATTAAATTTTCACAAAAAACTGTTTAACTGCCAAAATAAATAAATAAATAAATAAAAATACCAAACAGACTGCATTGCCTACTGAAGCTGTATTTTAGTCCCATGTTTCTTTCCTGTAAGTTTGAGAACAGTAAGTGACATGATTTTCCTTAAATGGTCATCATGGAAGCAGTGCCCAAAATAGGGGTTTCTTCAAATTTTGATGCAATATTACATAATGTTTAACAGC